AGACACCTATGTAATTTTATAATCGGGGCTCTCATAACAAATACAAATGGAACACCAAATCGATTTTATATTTAAAACAGATATCTGCATAACAACAACAACAACCCACCAACAAAAAAACTTAACTAATTTTAAATATTTTGTTTTCTTTGCCATCACCTTGTTGAACCGTGTGGAATAGATTGAAACATAACTAAAAACAAATATTGAAAAATTAAATTTTTGACCAGTTTTTTTTTTTTTTTATTAAATTGAAAATTGAAATATGGGCTAATCTATCTTGGGTTAATATTTTGATATCTGATGCCAGAGGAGTAGTGCCTCATGTCATCAACTTGCCAAGATTATTTTCCTGCGCCATCTAATGTGAGTAAATCACGGCATTGAAGTTCCATTCGCACTTTAGGGATCCCTCGAGGAAAAAGGGGCTTTGGAGGTTCATTCATCCCTGCGAACACCTTTGTCATCGGCTCACATCTCTGCAAAATCTACAGGAGGTTTTTCACAATATACAGTGAGCTACAACAGTGAGTCCAGGCATCTTGTTTAATAATCAGACACAATATTTAGAATCAATTTTGTATTTACAATCGTGTTCTAGGAGCATGTACAGTTTATAAAAACTGACGACAAACCCTTAATAGTCAGAATTTGAAGGTGCATTCACTGTCTCTGGGAGTTTCAGACGTCTGGCTAATCCCGATGAGATTTGAATGGTTCCCCCGATGTGCTCCCCCTACAACAATGACAAAATGACATTACGCTCTACAAAAACACCAAAACAACACAGAGTAACACGCTAATAGTGTGCGGATACCTACCAGCTCCCCAGGCCAGCTGTTGTGTCAGGTGTCCCCCCGTTCTGGCCGCTACCTGAACGCAACAAGACAGCAAGTCAGCTCAACCCTATTACCTCTACCCGAGCAACCAGGTAGAAATTCTAGTAAAAACAAATGCTCACCTTGGCGATAATACATGTCGTTCACCGTGTTGCCGTAAACCTTCCAAGCAAAGTGAATAGCCAGGAGACTGAAAATCAACCAGGTGAGGAGGATTTTGAATATGGAGACTCTCAAGTCGTTGGCGAGCCAGTCCTCCACGAATTCGGAAAGAAACGACAAGCAGCCGTCGGCGATACGGGACAGAAATTCAAAGTCCCAAGGCTCCTCCATAATGCCCGGTTACTTCCCAGCGTTTGTCGTGTAAATAGACAAGTACATTTGTCGAACATCGCTCGATCGGTAGAACAACAAACGCCTCTAGCTCGCCGGAGCGAAGCAGGCTACGGTGGCTACGGAAGTGTGTTGAGGGATACTAAGTGACGTTACGTAGCTCAACCCACCCTTTTCTTGTTTTGTTTTTCTTTTTTTAAATTGATAATACAGTATAACGTATAGTTGACCCACGCTATTCGCGCCAAAATTCACGTATAATTGACACTCATTAAAGATGCATGGGGGTTGACAAAAATAAAATAAAAGGAAAGAAAAGACAATAATAATAATACAATCCGCGGATGGGTGTGCCAAACCCCAAGTATGCTGTGGTCCACCATCAAGCGTAATCTTTTGTTGTGCACAGTATGTAGTTTTAATTCTAATATTCTCCTCAGGATGGAGTTTTTTTAACGGAATGAAATTCTTTAAATTGGTAGGGAATGCTTTTCTGTTAGAAAATCACGATAACTAAGGAGTTGGCCGTTTTGTTCTTTCACTTAAATTATGTTTTTATCAATCATATTTTCTAGATAAAATGTTGTGCTTGATAGGTTAGGCCTCTTTGAAATAGATAATTCGATAGGTGACATGCTACTTTTACTCAAATATGACTGTTCCAAATCAGTGACAGATCTGTATTTTTGTGTGTGTGTGTGTGTGTGTGTGTGTGTGTGTGTGTGTG